TAATTTTTAATTTTTTTTTTTTTTTTTTTTTTTTTTTTTTTTAACAGACATGTACACTACATTTGTTGACCATTATTTGTATAGAGGACCGTACAAAAAAAAATTTATCTCCTGATCCACTGGTGTTTCGCTTCCAATAACGGCCGTCATATGCAAATGGTCTGTCATTATGCCTGCTACTCATGCACTCACTGCCGATAGATGGTAGCAATGTAGAGTCACTGAAACCTCGGTGTCCCATTTTACCTGAGTATCCCATTTTACACCACCTTCCCCAATATTTATTTCAGCTATGACATTTCTTTCCCAGTCAATTGTTTCTGCTTTTGCAAGCTAGATAATGGAAAGTAGTGCCGAGATAGGGGGAAATATACGGCGTGAAATTGAATATGAGTAGGGATATGAGAGCAAGCTGAACTAATTAAATAACATGATTTTATTAATATATTTAATTGATTTAAATGATTGAAATGAATATGTAATTTTATTTGAGGAAACCATTTTAAAGACACCCTCATGTTACATCAGCCTTTTTGAAGCCCAAAAAGAATATGACATTTTTCCCACACCTAGAATGTAATTCAGGACCGAAAGGGTTAAACGGTGTTTCCCATTGACTTTCGTACCTGCCGCATATTGCTACGCACTAGAGGCGTATTGCCTCGTACTCCTTTCAGAGTGATCCTGCACGCGTTGGATATTGTTTCGTACTCCCTCTTCCAGCCCAGCGAGCGCGAGTTGCTCCGAATGACGCTTCCATCTGACATCCCTTGGAGAGGGGAATGCGTGGACTGTCGATGGTCGTTCGAAGGGTGGGTGTCAAGGATGTCGTCAAGGATTACGTGGAAGTGTCTTAATCCGTGAAAAGATCGATTAAGCGAATGGATGATGAGTTCTACGCTCGGGAGTTTTTATCGATTGAATTGCAAGTAATGGCGGAAAGAATCGACGACGAAATGCAGTCGTTGCTTCAAAGGTCCCGGATGCGCCTTCTGTCAGGGTTGCCAGATGGTCTTCACATTCTAAGCGGCACCGGAGAGAGCAAGGGGTACGAAAGATCATGCGACCAGTGGCGTAGCCAGGTTTTCGTCAATTTCCGGCTAAGCGGAAAGTTGGGAGGGGCTAATGGGGGGCTAAGCGGAACGTTGGGGGGGCTAACTTCGCCTCGTCGGGGTGGGGCAGACGCATTTCGACCAGAGTTGCCCAGACCAGGCTTGAACCAAGCTTGGGGGGGCTTCAGCCCCCCCCCCCCCTCGCTACGCCACTGCATGCGACGCGTGCGATTTGTCTCGAGCGAGGTGCGGAGGATGTGGCCGCTGGTGCTTAGCGTTCTGCACGACGTGCAGGCGTCAAGACGTGCAAGACGTCAAGACGTGCGAAACTCGGAGGGAAAAAAGTGTTGGGACTGTACTCGCTCGACAGGTTTACCTGCTTCCAGACATTCAAGACCGCAAATCGACGTAAAGCGTGGTACCATTACTATGGTAGCAAACAGAACGAGCGGGAATGAATCCAGATATATGTCTGGCGTCCTTTATGTAGGACGGCGTGCAGAGATGCGTATATGGAACGCCGGGCATTTCTGGGTCAAGTCGCATAAACCTCAGGTGAGGCGCGGGTTGCGACAGGACTTCTTTGCTTTTAGGGAAGTTCTCGGCCTCACCCACAAACCAAGCACGCACAGGTTTTATTTCACGATCAGTCTTCGATGTAATGGTCATGACGCTCGATGACACGCCCCCGACGATCACGCAACGTTCTAAAACCGGAATCGTAAAATGATTCTTCTTGCTGTCAAACCGTTCTTTAACGGCCGACTTCAGCTCGTCGTCCCCGAAATTGCCTTTCTCCAAGGTCCATTTCCGAATTTGCAAGCGGATAATAGTCGGAGCCATGGACCAGCGAACAGTCCGGAAATGAACCTGACTGTTTGTAAATCTGTAAAAAAGACCTTCAAGAAAGGCGTTTTGGCGACGACGACGAGCTGAAGTCGGTCGTGCAAGAATGGTTTGACATAAATAATTTCTTTACAGTTCCGGTATTAGAATGTTTCGTGAATGTTGGAGGCATGTCATTGAGCGTAATGGTCGTTGCGTTGAAGATTGAGAGTAAGGAAATATGCGTTCGTGCTTGGTTTGTGGGTGAGGTCGAAAATTTCTAGAAAGACCTGGTATCTACCTCTTAGAGGGGTACGCCTAATTGATGCCCTATCCGAACCTTGAACTTCGAATAAGTTGAATAAAAAAGCCGTGTCCAAAGCCGTACGTCACCATTACTTTTCCGTGTCATCTGTATGCCGTCCCGATGATGCACATATTGGTAACAGATGGTCTGAAACACATCCACACATCAGTTCTCAAGGTCCATCTGGAAGGGCAGCCAGACTCATACGTAAGGTCGCTCATAACGTGCAGGCTCAAATCGGTATCTGTGGTAACTAAAAAAGGGCATTTCTTAGTATTCTGCACTGCGTCCAATCTGCGGCTCACGCCTGCACATACTCAAAGAGAGGTGCTTCGTATCCCACAATGTCAGAAAAGTGGGTACCCATGCATTTATATAATACTTCTGCATCTGGGGGATGTTGGGCATTTCTTTAATGAATTCCTCGGATTGTCCACCTCTACTCTCACGAACGATTTACACGATGCCAAATGTTCATGCTTGCAGATGACACAAGGTCTCTCATGGAAACGATAACATCTAGTAGCAGGGAAAACAAAGCTGATGTGAAGGATGCAGCTTCCTTCATTACTAGATGAAGCGTTTCTTTGATATTCTCCAAGTTATGCTACTTTCCAGACAATTCAATTTCCATGACGATTTCTTACATGAACAGTGGCAAAAAGTGATGGTAATTGATATCTGATTGATATAGTCTGTTATGTACAGTATATACAAATTTGGAAAAGCCTGCATCTCCAGGTAATGCAATAAATCAGTGTTTAATAAACAATTAGGCGCACATCATGTCTCTTCACTTTTATTTCTCAAATGTAATCACAGCCAAAGCAAGCAGAGAATGGAGGACAGTCCATTTCAGACACATAGCACAGCCTGAAATAATACGGTCTGCCAACCCACTGATTTGTCATTTCGAGAGATATTTTCCACACTCATCACTCAGGAAAGATCTGGAGTAGGAGTCTCCCATTACAATGGGATCTCTCTTCATCAGTCCATAGAGGGAAAGAAGAAAATGAGGAAGGGAAAACCAGAGGTGGAAAAAAAATCAAAAACAATGATTTCATACTACACTCCAAAATTTACAAATCAATTACTTTTATACAAGAAAGAAACAAAGAAATGAAGGATTTTAAGTACTACTCTGCTGCAACAAATGGATTTCACTTGCTACACCAAGAGGGGAATAATAAATTTCCATAATTCTTTTGCTCAATCAGCAAGGAACCCAGCTCAACAGAGTGGCCAGGTATGAGTCAGGTGAAGGGATCTCATCAAGAAGTCCTGCAAAATAAAAATTTAGATGTTAAATATTAAAAAATGCAATCAGTAGTTTATATGCATGGATTTTTTATAGCACTTGTATTTTGAGGAATTCCCTGATTCAACTTACCAATTACATCAACAAATTCGGTGAACGACTGACAAGGCAAAAGATCATCCTGATAGAACTGCAGCATTCGATCAGATGCTTCAGCAAGGACCTGATCATTATGACGTATGAAATCTGCCAGGTGTTCAGGCCACTCAGAATCAGAAGTGACAGTCACCTTCTGAAATGGAATTATGTATGCTGTAGGCATAAATAACATGTGCAAAATTTGAAATCTAAATTGAGCTCACCTTGAACATGATGGAATACATGGCATTGATGAGGCCAAAAAACACAAGTGCTGGTTTATAGACCCCATATTCTCGGTTTGAGCGATCAGGTAGCTTCTGATGTGGACCGGGTTGAAGGAGATTACGGGCCAAAGCCATGACGATGAGGCGATTCAGAATCATGAGACGTCGTGCCTTCCAAGCATTGGGACTACTGATGAGTAATGCAAATATCCCAAAGTATAGGGGCCCCTCTGCTTCAAATGAATTCTCTATCCATTTCCCTGCACTGTACTCCAAGAAGGCCTTAAGATTTTCTTCTTCTCGTGGAACTGAGCGAGTCCTGCAAAATATATAAGATTCATTCCATGAAACTTTCCATGAAACTACAGTAGAAATTTCCAAATCTTTTCTTGCAAGGCAAGATTCATAATGCAACAATGTCAAAGAAAAAACTGAAATATGTACTAAGTTCACTCACGTGTTCAGCACATAGAGGGCCATGTGCATGAGGTAAGGTACAAAATGCATGTTTGATTGAGGTCCTCCACCTCCACTGTCTTCACTGAAAGATCGCTCCTCTGCAAACCGTAGCAGCAACAGCTTCAGGTCATGTATGGTTGAGACATGACCAATGTCCCTGATGAAAATGAAGTGCACTGGTTAAGTACAGCTACATCACACTGTGTGAAAGAGTACCATGCATGTGACAAACCTGTGCGCAGTGCATTCCTGAAGGTATGTATTGTGCCTTGCAAGGCAAGAAGCAAAAGCAGACTCTGGAACTTGTGGGCCCCATAATGGCACTATTCCATTGCACCTTGTGTTGGCATTCTGAAGAGCTGCTGACTCCCATTCATCTCGCATACGGGATAACCTGCAAAGAACTTTCATGCTGTGAAAGTCACAGGCACTTAGTATACACATTAGAACAAAGGAGGTACACACCTGACTGCTGCAATGTGACAATCAACATGTACAACATTGAAATGGGTCACAGTTGCATAGGCTGGAGTCTTACGAGCCTTGGCTTCAAAATCATCAGCATTGCAGCGTTTGGTAAATGTGTATATCCCCAAAACTTTGGAAGGCTGAAACTTGTAGCCTTCTCGACAGATGACACAGACGAGGCCACTTTCTTCCACAAGGTCACTGAGCTGGTCAAGTATGGAACTGGCCACAGTAACCTGACCCTTCTCATTTGCCTTCATCCCCAACTGACCCAACTCTCTTTGACGCATGGCCATGGCAAGTCGTTTCTTTTCTGCTCGAGTTTGCTTCCTCTCAGCATCCACCTTATTGGATAAGCTGGGGTTCCCACGCAACACTTCCATCAGGTTCTCAGCAAGGGAGCCTACCCGTTGATCAGAGGAGACTTGCTCCAGTTGGTGTAATATGGGGATGCAGCTATCTCCAACAGCCAACTGATAATGAAGCACCATGTGCCACAATTTAGTACAGGAACCATTCCATGAAAGTAGACAGAGATGACCACTGTTCTCTACCTGTGTGGATGGATGGCCATCAGCTAACCCAGCCAGAATCCGCAACACAAGTTTCAGACTTGGTTTGCTCAAAAATGCCTTCCATTCTTCACTATCTGCTTGAACGACAGCACTCCGACTCCGAGGACAGTGTGTCTGCCAAACAATATCATTTTTAAGAGGGATCCTCTGAAACAAGGTTATGTGCATCTGGTCACAATTTGTGATGTTTAGTGCTGAAGGAGAAGATACACCCAAAATGAACTTCCAAATAATGAAAATCTCATAAAATTACAGGGTAGAGCAATACTTGCATACGCCATACTGAGAATTAGGCTCTAAATATAGAAATGAATACTTTATTCATATATAAACCCCTGTTTTGCTTCACCATTGCACAGTTCTGCTATTGAAGGAGGTAATAAGGTTCTATGCTCTCATGTATTTTTGCAGACAGGAGTTCTGCTTAGCAACCACCTGGCCTCCCCTTCCATTCTGCCCATATCAGCATCAGCCTAAGGCAATTACCCAATACCACAAGTTTTCAATTTCACAGGTTGTGACACAGGCTGTGCTGCCCCAATGGCACAAAAGTCTGTGCAACCTTGTTTCAGAGCCACCAAGGTATGCTACCACTCCTATCTAGGGAAAACCAAGTTTCATTTCTTACAAAAGTAGACACAAAATCCAGGAATCCACCCAACTCACTGTATGCTTGATTTCTGGAAGCTGGTAAAAGACTCCTAAACTCCTAAGCATAGACACACCTGTATATACTGAATGGCAGTCTGCACAAGATTTGCAGAGACGAAGCGATCTTTCAAAAGGTTGCCAACTTCATTCTTCTCAATGCCACGAACAAGATCACAGAAAGACTCCAGCTGTCATGTGAAAAGAAATAGCCCATGTGCAACAAATATAGCAGAATATTCCAATTTCACAAAGGACAAGTAGACACTCTGGTCTTGAACTTACCCGATTCACATCCTCTTGGGTGTGGTCCTGGTCAAACTTGTTAAAGTCAAATAGTGGTCGGAAGTGTTTAGTGAGGAGGTCCATCTTCTCTGGGTTTGGACAGGCTAGAAGTGGAAGGACTCGCATCATTCGTTCCCGGATTTGAGAACTAAGACTTGGGTCATCAGTCCACATGAGAAGACTTTCAGTGTCTCTCACGTCTCCACAGGATGCATTGAAGTTAGCATAATCTTTGAGTCCTTCACCTGAGGCCTCTGCCAGGATGACTTCCATGATCTTAAGAATAAATATTGAGCATGCAAATCGAAATTAAAGGTTTGAAATCTTAAGAATTCATTTTTTTGCATGTAATATTTCACTTCCAATGCCAAGCAAAATCAGAATGAATACAATAAGAGAACTAATTACTTCAAGGAGCTGCTCAGTGAGGCTAGGCTGGCCTGCATGATGGGCAGTAACAGCTCCACTTTCTTGTTCAGATGCAGCAAGGCAGAGCTTCAGTGTCTGTAGCATGATTCCAATAGCATTTAACTTGGGATCAACTATGCGTTTGAGATTCGCAGACACTTTGATGCAGAGGCCAAACAGACGCAATAGTACAGTGAGGAGAGCTCGGCCTCTGGGCATGTCAGAGATGGAAGCAAGGCGGTTCAGCATCACCTACAAGGATCCAGAAAGCATTTCCTATTTAGACCTGATCCAGATGAGATGAGAAGTATTGCAGTACTGCCCCAGCCATTCTCACCTTGAGACCTCCACATTCAGCCATAACATTGGCCATGCGGTATACTTCCTCATTGTTCACTTCTTGATCTTTCTTGTCATCCAGAGTTTCAATGATATCCTCAGTAGCATCACCAAGCAGTCCCCTCATGCGATACACAACCCTCATTGCATCAGTTTCAGGATTCTCGGCAAGCCACACTTTCTTGAAAACCTACAACAACAATGTCCACATTGGAGCACAGACCTGATTTGGCCAGGTCATACCTAATCATATCTAATATAGGAGGTATGTACAAATGCCTGAGCTATTGAATGGACTCAGCAACAGCAAAAGAGAGGCTCACATCTTTCACAGGGAGATCAAGAGAAATGATCTTGTTGCAGACCAGGAGCTCCATCCCAGTGTCATCCTCCAATAAGGCAACTAGTTCACAGTCAGTGCAAATCTTATTCTTCACATCTCTCATCAAAGGTCCCAATCCTGGTTCCAAGCTGCTATATGGATTACCTAACATACGACCCTGAAACAAAGAAAGACAAATTGTGGAATGATGAATAGTATCATGTTTTTCCATCAATGAAACCTCACCTGAAGAAAATCTTCCTGCTGAGGATCTTTATCAAGCATGAGGAAAAACTCTCTGACATCATTCTCTTCAGGATATATGATGGAACACAGCCGCTCAAAAATAAACACTGGTGTCCTGAGGTCATCCTTCCCGTACTTCTTGACAGTCTCCACACAGACAGCCATGAAAGCCTTTGTTTCAGACTCAGTTCCTGTAAATCAAAATAACCCATGTCCACAATATTATGTATAGCTCTTCCCTTGATTGTACTGGCACTGTGTTTTGCATGACTTGGAGATGAAACTATATTTCAGTTGTTACCTGTAGTCATGTCCTCCAGAAGATGTAAGAGTTTGTCTTGGGTGTCATCAATCACTTTTGTCCGCTGAACAACAAGTTTCCTGAGAGCAAGGTACCCATGAAGGACAGTGGCAAGGAGTCTCACTTTATATTTGGCTCTTATGGCAGGACGTTCCACCATTGTGCAGAGTAACTCTGTCAGGGACTTCAAAGCATACCCTAACAAGGATAACAATTTTAAAGTGCATTAAAAATTGCATTCATGAGAACCCTGACTTGAGGACCCTAACTTGAATGAATATTGTACCACTGTTTGACCCTAATGGACCTACCTTGTGAAAGATCTGAATTCAATGTTGTCTCCTCAAGATGAGAAATAAGTTCAATTTCTTCATTCATGAGATCTCCAATGAGTGGAAGGATTCCTTGGACGGCCAAGTAATACCTCCAGTGTCCTGTTCGCACAAGACTCTGGAACAAGGTGACATATTCTGCTCCATTCTCCCCAGCCCGACTCAAGAGAGGAAGGTATCCCATCAGAAGGTCCAGCAACTGTGACAATTGGAAACAATCAATAACTAAAAAAGAATGGAACAAGAGATGAGCAGAGAGAAGAACTGAAGTTATCCATACCAATTTCTTCTTAGGATAAGTGCTGCACAAAGTTTCTATCACATGGGAGGCAACAGCACGGGCCATTCGAGAAGAAGGATAAAAAAGGACAGGCTTGAGCCAAGAATTATCACAGAATACAATAGGACATTTCTGCTTGGAGAACACTTTATCTCGCCATTTCGTGCCATATTTCTCTATAAGATACTTGGCATGGACTTTCTGCTGAGGTGTGGGCCCTCCCTGCTTCAAGAGGAGATTCATATCATTCTTATTCATATCATCCTGGCATATATAAATCTTAATGTGTTTCAATAACCATGACACTAACCCTCTTCCCTTTCTTATCACCAATATCGAGAACAGTAGCCCCCAGGCTTTGAGGCTTAGCACAAGGAATTCGCTTCTTCCATGCCTTGTATGACTCTTGGGGCTCCTCCTTCAACCACCTGTCTAGGTTCAGATGAGTTTCAGCTGTGTCTGTGGCCACTGATGCCAATGAGAGAGGGTTTGGCACATCCTGGAACCAAACGCCACCAAGATATAATTTCTTGAAACAATCATCCTCTCAAAGTAACAAGCCTATTTTTATATACCCATTACACAGGCTGGCTAAAGAAGATGATACATTGATTCATATACAGGGTGATTCTTTCAGCACTAGACCCAAGAAAATGTGAATATTTCAGCAAGTTATGAACGTATAATTATGAAATTTGCGTCAAAGGAACGTGGGACATTGGGAAAGGAGCGGGAAAAATCCTGGCGTAGTTGGGACAACAACTGGCATCTGGTGCCATGTCGCGCGCCGCCGTGTCTACACTGCCTCTGGCGTGGCAATAGATCCCTGTCATTGTGTTGTGCAGTAGTGAAGGAGAATGGTGTACACAACAGAGGAGCGTGTATTCATTGTTCGTAATTACTGGGTGACAGGTTCCTTTAAACAGTGTCAGGCCGCATTTTTGAGGAAATATGGCGGTAGGAAGCCACCAGCAAAGCAGACGATTGCAAATTTGGTGAAGAAGTTAGAGACAACAGGAAGCGTTCTTGATATCCATGCAGGTGGCAAACCACTGATGTCGGATCAAACAGTGGCGGACGTAAAGCAATGCTTACAACAATCACCAAAGAAATCCTTACGCAGACTTTCTCAGGAAACTGGTTTGTCTTACTCAACCTGTCAGAGAGCGGCAAAGTTGAAGGCTTACTGCGTTACCGTCATCCAGGAATTAAAGCCGTTAGATGCACAGAAGAGAATGGCATATTGCGAATGGTTCATGAATCTCTTTGGCGAAGACGACGAACTGCTGGACATAACATGGTATTCAGATGAAGCTTGGTTTCACTTAAGTGGTTATGTGAACTCCCAGAATACACACATATGGGCAACAGAACACCCTCATGAGATTCATGAAGTGCCGCTCCATTCGGAAAAGACAGGTGTGTGGTGTGCAATCTCCAGGCGTCGCATAATCGGTCCAATTTTCTTCCACAAGACTTTGAATACTGCTCACTATCTGGAAATCTTCAACGAATTTGTGAAACAACTTGATGACGACGAGCTCCGAAACGGCTATTTTCAGTAGGATGGAGCCACATGCCACACGTCAAATGAGAGCATGACTGAAATCGAAAGCTTTTTTGATGACCGGATTATTTCGAAAGGCTTATGGCCGCCAAGATCTCCTGACTTAAGTCCGCCTAATTTTTTCCTGTGGGGCGCCTTAAAAGGAAAAGCTTATGCCAACAAGCCATGCACCATACAGGAAAACAACATTCGACGTGAAATTGCTGTGATTAGTGAGGACGTCTTGCAGGCCACTTTCGCAAACATGAAGCGTCGCGTTCAGCTCTGCCTGGACAGTGGTGGTGAACATTTCCAGCATCTCCTCTAGTATCGACATGCTTCTCATGAAGCAAGGTATGTAGTCATATATGCATGTTCAAAATCTAATGAATAGTCTTTGAGATATTCGCATTTTCTTGGGTCTAGTACCGAAAGAATCATCCTGTATGTCTATAGTAAGTAACTTACAAGGAAGGATAATAACATTTAGGGGGGAAATATAGAAACAATGTAGCACAGACTTCCCACTTGTCACAGCAATGGTGGACATCTCTTATTTTCAAAATAGATATGCATTCAATCAGACTGAAACAGATTTTGACGTCAATAGTGATACTTGACAGTCATACTTTCTAAAATCTTTAATATAAAAAAGGGAGTAGAGCCCTTAGTTAACTATTGGGCTTTCTTTGATTTTTAGCAAAAAGAGGCATCATTCTGCACCTAAGCATCAACATTCAAACATGGTAAGACTCTAAAATTCTAGAAGTAGAAAACCACCAATAGGGCAATATGTCCTTCAGATGCAACATCTTGACTCACATACTGACTAAATTATATTGCAGTGCAAAATACCACCTGGTTTTCATATTTATGACACTACAGTTTCAGTCTAAAAACATTCAAATCTTTTTCTCACTTTACCTTGAACTTCTTTGAAAGGACAGCAGGAGGTTTCATCAGGGAAACTAGGATTCGAAGACATGGCAACACCAAGTTCTCCATCACTGGTGGAGATTGAAGCATTTCACAGGCCACAGAGAACAACTGAACCAAGCACCTATTGTGAGAATGAAGCACATGATATGTCAGTGCATGAATTAAGAACATGAGCAGAAAAAGAGATCAGATGACCATGGAACACACCTGAGTCGTACTTCCCAACAGGAATCATCTCGCATTTGAACAAGGTTCACAAGCAGGCCCACTTCATGCCTTATAGCAGATGCTAATATAGTACTTGAAGCATGTGACTTGAGAGCAAGATGAACACGATCCATGATTAGTAGATTTAATTCTTTGGTAGCTAAAAAGTTGTCCTTGGTCAAGAGGCACAACAAGTGTCTCACCTCCTGTCTCACCTGTTGGAACAAATTTACTTGTACAGTTCTTGTACATGATAGGTAGATAGACCTGAAGAGTTTCTGTAGCTGAGGGTTGTCCAGTTAGTCATAATCTTAGTTTAGTTGACTCCAGCTCTCAACAACATTATGAAGTCATGGTCATGAATATGGTTCATTTCATTAAGTCTTGATCACAATTAAGTCAAGAAGCAAGTCAAAACAGACTTTGTCAGTTTAAGTTACAAATTCTAGAATATCTCAAGAATCTATCTCCTGCATCCAGAATCATGGTTGCCAGATTAATTATGATTGTGGAAAATACTTTATATGTAATTGACAATGACAAAATTGGGCTGATAGGGATTTTGTCATCATCATCAGCTCTAGTGCACAGCTTTAGCTTCTCTTCAGTCACCCTCAACAACTAAGCTCATCTTAGAAAAATTCATCATAAACTACAGCAACACCAGATATCATCATAGGCAAAGCCTTCCTCTTACCTTCAGAGTACCCTTCTTAAGATTGTGATCCAACATTTCTGGCAGCAGTCCAAAATGATTCTCACATAGAAGGGAACGATACTTGGACTGTGAAGCCAGAGCCCTGAGGAGTGTGATGCAATGCTCAGTGGCAGCACTTGCACACCCATAACACTTCCCTTGCTTCACAAAGGATCTTGGATCTTCCTCTAGATTCTTTGCAACTGAATGTGACTGCTTTTGAAATTGCTGTCTGTCATATGCCACTAATTCTTGGCGAAATGCAACCACTTTCTGCAACAAAGATGTTACATGATACATTAGACTGGAATTGCATATGTTACACTCTCAAGACAGGTGCAGAAGAGCAGAATAATCAGTACCTGGATGATTTTGCTAAGCTCATCAAAGGCAACCTTGCATTCACCACAGTAGCGCTGAGCAAGTGATAATATATTTCGGTTCACTTGTGGTGCAGATGCCACAGAGGATGATCCAGATGCACCAGTAGTTGCAGTTGGTGCAGCTGGTGCTGACATGGCGGTTCCACCAGTACCAGTGGCACTAGCTACAGCACTAGGCGGGGCAACTGTTGGAAGGTCTTCATTCCTTTCAGCTCCTTGTTCCAAGGTTTGAGACAACAATGCCTGAAACAAAAACATAAGACTTGATTTAATAGGCAATATTCTCAATGAGGAATCCCCATAATCACAGATGATTTCACACCTCAAGGAAAGATTTTTGAGAAGTGACTTTGCTGTAGACTCGGTCAGCCTTCTCTAAGAGAGTATTTATCCTTAGGATAGCTTTCTTGCGATCTTCCTCATTTTCAATGGGATCCACTGCACAGCATGGCCGGGCAGTCAAGGTGTAATCGAACTTTGCATACTTGCAGAAGCCACAAGCATTGCACAGGAATGGATCCTTCTCATCATAATTGATGGATCTAAGATATGAATTATTGATAAGTTGCACTTCAGTAGCATAACAGGCTGAAAAAAGTTTACCATTATGACAAAAATTGCTTAAGACCTACCTGCACTTGTGACACTGAAATACATTCTCCCCACAATTGCTGCATACACCTGGATTGGCTGGAACAGTTGCACTGCACCTTGGGCACTGAAGTGTCTCAGTAGATGCTTGGGGGTTTTCATAGAAGTCTGCATACTCAATCATGAGATTGCAGGCTACAATTGGTAGAGGAAATTCAATCTTCACTTCTGTCTGACCAGGTGTCAGGATGACCCTCTTGGCTTTGTGCCACATTGCTACAAATAAAAAATCGGTACATATAAAGTCACTCACTGAGCACAGAATACACACCTTCTCACAACCTTACAGACTATTCATTTTGCCTGCATGACAGCAGCCATTAACCCTTTACTGCATTGTGTTCCCAATATGCAACATACCAGGATAATTTTTATAAAATGTCTGAAGACTCGCAGTGTGGCAAACAGGGAATTTCTGAAACATCCTTGATGTTCCTGATAGGTAAGAACTAAATACTTATTAAATTTATATTTGTAGCCAACTGGGAGCATATTGAAAATACTGGGTACCATAGAGTAAAAGACCTTTGTCTTGTTTCATTGCAAAGTACTTAACTTTTTAATTATTATATTTGATGCTTAAAACAATTTGCAAGAATATGTTATCTCATATCTTTGTCTGACCTTTTATAATTTCTATTTTTTGTGGTTTCACGTCTTACAAGTTTCTTCAATTTTGGCAAAAACTTAAAAAATGCAATAAAATGATGGAATTTTAGCAAAATATTTATGCAAAATATCTTATTTTCATACATCAAAGGAAATGTATATGAAATTTGAATGTCTTTTCTCCAAGGCTTTCATATATCATGCAGTAAAGGGTTAAAGCATGTTGTCAAACATGTAAATTTTATCCCAAGCATCTTCAACAGTTCATTCTTTAACACGTTGACGACCAGCCTATTTTTGCTTGTCCGCTGCGTGGGACCACGCGCATTTTTTTTTGTCAAAAAATGCATCCTGCCATCAGGACGCATGGTCCCAGAAAACATTTTTTTTGCCGAGTTTTTTTAAAATGTTGAATTTTTTGGAATTTTTATCAGTAATTACGAAATCATAATCTTCTGGAACGTGTGATCGCTAGATACTCGATATCTGCGCACAAGACGTTTTTTGGAACCTGCATCCTGCCATCAGGACGCATTGTCCCACGTGGCAAAAAATCTGCATCCTGGCATCAGGACGCATTGTCGCCAACGTGTTAACTCTTTCGCTGCAGTGGTTGACTTATTTCACACAGCAGGTAGTCCTCCCTAACCTATATTGATTCTACTACACAGTGAAAGAGTTAAAATGAAGTATGAATGGGTCTTAGTCATTTTCATAATGTAAAAAATAACTTGCTGAATTTTCTCTTCTTTCAAGGTAGGTGCACAGACTTCAAAATCAATTAAGAAGTCCTCCTCCTTTTTTTTATTAGAACAAAGATGAGTCTTTTTTGCTCTAAGGTGTACATGGTTTCTGTCGATGCATTTCTCTTCAAAGGAAATAAATCTTCTGTCAATGAGATAGGATACTAGTAATATGTTTTGCTTTGCAGAAAGTGACAGCACTGAAGAGGTTGATGAATGCCATCATAAAATAATGGGAGATCAGAACCAATTGATCATTTTTTCAACTCCACTCTTACAGTTCTTAAGAATTCAGAGAGAGGAAAAGCTGCTTTTACCTTGTTTACATTTTCTGCACCTTCAATTAACCCTTTAAGTACTGTGAACATGTATACATGTTTATAGTAAGCTGTGCCTTTTGGACTGTGAACGTGTATGCACGCTTTGTAGTAAGCTGCTCCCGAAGACTATGAACACATATGGGCCAATGCATATACATGTTACAACTAGTTAGTTCTAGGCTCTGTCTTTGATCCATGAACACGCATGTGCAGTTTTTGAATTTTCCAATAGTTATTTTTCAAGTAATTAGCATTGGTATGGCAGACAGAAGTGGAGTGGGTCCATCCACATCACAATTACGTCCTAAAATCAATTTGGCACTCAGTGATGTGGAAAATATATTTCTCAATGAAGAATCAGAAGATGAACTTGAACTCATGTCTGACATTTCTGATGATGAAATGTCGACCAATGACAACTACAAGCCAAGTAGCCAAGAAGATGACTCGGATTGCAGTAACGAAGGTGATGTTTATCCAGAGCCCAGTCTTAAGTGGACACAAAATGACCCGAATTTTTGCTGGACTAATCAGCATTTTGATCCATGTGCTGTGAGCCAACAATGTGCAGCATGCCAACAACGTGCCAACAACAATGTTGACACACATCTGATGTAGTTTAACTTTGAATAAAACAAGAATGTTACACATTTTCATGTCCTTTCATTTTTTTTTAGTAACAGGATATCCACATTGTACATCTTCCATAAAACTAACTCAGTCCATGGATAATGATAATGACCGCCAAACTACGTGCCGAAAGGGTTAAACTGGTAACCAATTTTGGTCAAGAAAAAACTTCTCAAAGGGAACAAAGGACCAACCAAATAGCTGGTACTACAGTCACCAGCAATTATTCAACATCTAACTCAAAAATTGGCTCATTTTGACAAAAGAAGAAGGGAATAATGAACAAAAGGGAGAACTTACCAGGTCTGTTCTTGAGCTCAATCACAGCCTGGACAGTCCTATTGTTGTAGTAGACATTAATGGTCCGGACCATCTTGGTTCTCTTGAGGTCTCCAATTCGGACTACCAGCTTGAAGATGGTGTGACTTCCCACCAATTTTACTATTTGTGTTGTGGTTGTGAAACGGGAATCAACCTAGTAACAATGATGAGGTTAAAATTTTAAATATTCTGAAAATTGTATCCATTGTTCATCCATTATTCATTCATGAAGTCAGTCCTGAATCAAAATGGTAATAAGAGAGCATTGCTCCTGACCTCACCTTTATGGCTGACAACTTGATGTTTGTGAACTGGACTTCTGGGTCATTGCAGACAAGGCAGGGTTCAGACTCAAGATAGAAGCCATCAAATTCCACTAATCCTTGAAGATTGGTGTAAAGATTTGCATTTGGATGATTAGTCAAGAGAGAATTTTGGCCTTGAAGAACCTCTACAGCTCTTTTCACATTCTCCTTAGCCTGTGTCAGGAAAAAAAATCCATCCATGAGAGAAATGTTATCCTCCTCTTTAACCTGCATCATTAAAAAACTTCCATTAACACGTTGACGACCAGCCTATTTTTGCTTGTCCGCCGCGTGGGACCACGCACATTTTTTTTTTTGTCAAAAAATGCGTCCTGCCATCAGGACGCATGGTCCCAGAAAACATTTTTTTTGCCGAGTTTTTTTAAAATGTTGAATTTTTTGGAATTTTTATCAGTAATTACGAAATCATAATCTTCTGGAACATGTGATCGCTAGATACTCGATATCTGCACACAAGACGTTTTTTGGAACCTGCATCCTGGCATCAGGACACATTGTCGCCAACGTGTTAAGAAAGGGACAGCACAATTAGGGCTCAAGATGTATGCAGTGATGGGGAATTCAATTTCACAAGTAACTAGTTATAGTTTCAAAGACACAGTTGAGGAAAAGCAACTAGCAACTTCCTAGTTACTTTGTAGTTCCTCTTCCAACTGAGTGAAGTTTTACACCCATGAATCAAGCAAAAGTAATGCCTTCAGAATCCTCAGAAGAATACTTCCTTGATGTATTCCATCAAGGAAGTCATATACCAGTTAGAAGTGAAAGGAGTCTAATTGTGTCTCAGTGGATTTTACATATGCAATCAGTAAAATGCTAATATCTTCAGAACTATAGTAAAGACAATTGAATGCAGTTTTTTCCCCTTTTACCAAGAAATAAATTCCGTTTCTATGTAGAAAGTATCTAGATCAAAGAAACTCATGACAGCTATTGCTGTCCATGGCACAGAAAGAGTTTTTAAGAAGCATAGGCATGAGAGGTCAAGTTGAACTTATTTCATTTGATTTCCCAAGCAAAAAATGATGTGGTTGCTTTCATGAAGTTCAATCTCCTGAAATCAATCATCAAGCCCATCTCTCTAATTTTGTATGCAAACATATTTTCAATAGTTAGTGAGAATATGACAAAACTTGGTAAATATTCTAATTTCAGCTACAAGAATCCCATACCAAATTTCATCCAATTCTGAGAAGGTGGCTACCATCATACCATGTCATATTGGGTGATTTCACAAGAAAGACCCTTAAGCAAAACAAGTCCAGCTTATACTTCCATGAATTTCTTCCTTTAATTCCTCTTGCATCTGCCAGTGAACTGTGAAGCAATTGCAACTTAATTCTTTAGACTCAGCTGCATAGATCTGTACAAACAAGCCTGAGATTGCAAGCTGAAAACAGGATTGCAAGCAAAAGCAAACAAGTCTGAAAAATTGGGGCATCTTTAGTTGAGCACTCCAAGTTAGTTAAAACTGAATTTCACTTCATCTTCTAGGTGTGTGACCAGTGGTAGAAGCAAGTTCCAGTCAAAAGGTATCCTTGGCGAGATATTGCCAGAATATCAGTACTTCAGTGGGCAGGAAGAACCAGTCATGAAATGACAATCTGGCCAGTACAGAATGTGGTCCAGCAAATTGAATTTTACCAAGATGCCTATGCATTGCAGACCAAGAACATTTATGGGATACTTTCCCTGTATTTGAATTGTCTACAGACTCATAAACCATGGCAAATAGCTCAAAATTAAAACCTAAATAGAGAGAATGATTTGATACCGATGTCACAGAAGTCCCCTTAGAGGTGTAAAATGAGCTACCTGCCATGAGAGAGTAATCCTCAATCCTTCTTCTTCACCATAAAAACATATACAAATTTGCAAAAAATTCCAATCAGAACACCAATGAGAATGCATATATTTTTCACTCTTGCCTTTTCATTGGGGAGATTTGTCTTCAAAGAAAAATATCCCAACAGATCCACAAACTGGGATGCCTTCCTCCCATAGGATGGTATGATGGGCAAGAGGGTCCACATCATTTCCAGAAGAAGTTCTTGGACATGTGTTGATGAAAACCTGCATTTAATGTAAATAAATTTTAAAGGTACCAATGGATCATCAAAAGCATGCAAATAACTCAGATGAAATTCAGTAATCTGCTTAAACTGTACCAAACAGAACTTGCTCTGCATGAATATAAGACAAACCTGAAGAGGCTAAGGATGAGTGAATGAGCCTGCCAACGAACACTGGTCTGATTGCTCTCCAGCAGGAACATGTTCATGAATTGTTTCAGTAACTGGGGAGAACAAGACTGAAATAGGTTTTGGACTAGACACATGGACAATGGATCTTCAGGCAGCATTTCCAATGGGTCACCACGTTCTCTTTCCCTTTTTCCAGTTCCCCTTGTTGGGGCTCCTGACAACTGACTCACCCCTGGTAGACCCTGTAGGAAAATAGCAACCATTTAATTCAACATCTGACAGTCTGTGCAGAGCAGGCTTGCCAGTTATCACATGATTGCATACTGAGTGAAGCAAAAAAAAAACTGCTTTTTGAGAGTTTTTGGAGCATATAGAAAGGCAACATTTTTTTTTGCAATGAGTTCCATGTACCCATTAAATGCACTCAAAATTGTATTTTTCTCAAGCCTTTTCTTCAAATGAGCAATAATGAAAAGACAACTCAGATTTGTTTTGTGCACATAATCATATCAGCAGGAGAGTGATTGGTGTGTGTTGTGTGCTAAAGTGTGTGCCAATGGTCTGGGGCTGGAGTTCCCCCATCTGCCCAAGAAAGCATTGCACTTTGTGAAAGGATGGGATGGGGTAAGAATTTTTCAAGAATTTCCAAGTAAGGGATGGAAACTATGTTGGCCTGTCACTAAGAGACTGACTCATAAGTGTAAGAAACTGGTTCATCTGAGAGGAAGAGAGGGAATGGGAGACGAAATATAACTTAAACTGAAGAAAACTGTATTTACGAGGAAGAAATTATTGTTTCTCAAGATGGTGATCCAGGGATGCAATAATCCCATCAACAAACTGCCAGACATATGGATCCAGAGATCTGATCAGCAGTTTCTGCAATGCAAAGGAAAAAAAAATCTTTGAATAGAATCATAATTCCTGAGTGAGGCAGGTCCTTGGGTCCAAGTCTAGGTGTATAGATATATGGATGAAAGAAACATTGTTTTACTAGTTGCTGATTCAGAGGTGCCATAGAATAAAAAAAAACCAGCATGCTTTTTCCTTTACTCAGGTTGTACAACACTTACCTGCTGAACAGCTTTGGCACCACAAAGTGCACATTGCAGGAGGTGGAGAATGATAGGAGCTACACCTTCATCCAGAATGAGGGTGGCATGAATAAGGAATGGCAGTATTGTGTCATCTTGATTGCAGAATCGCTGCCAATTGGATATGCGCATGGTGGCAATATCGAGGCTTCCCTTCAGGTGTTCAATCATGTCAATCAAACAGTCATAGTTGAGGGGTGAGGGAGAGGTAGGGGTAAGCAAAAGTCCTTGATGTCCAAGCACACCTGGATCAGGACAGGCATCCTTCACTGCCTGCAAAACCAGAAAATTGGCTATACTTGAGAGTGCCAACAATAACTTAAAGAGACTGTATAGGAAGAGTATGAAAACCTTGATGTTTGATCTGAAGGCATGAAAGTCTCTAATTTGACGGTACTTGTCCCTACTTCCACAGAGGAACAACAGGAGCTTGCGAACTTGTCTCCGAATGAATGGCATCTGCCTGTACATCATGTACTCACATAGGACAAAATTCCAGTCCTGATCAAACTCCACATTTGGGATGGTGGATACAAGTTCAGAAATCTTCTTGATTTGGTAAGGCAAACGTAATGCCATCTCAGTGAGCAGCTGAGGAAAAGCTTCGAAAACATCACGGGCATGTCCCTGAAATAAAATTACATGCTCCCCAAGATGAGCAAAGCTATATAGTTTTCAATACAAGAGAAACAAAGGTATGCTTCACTACTCACTTTGACATATTGTCTGAGGAAGAATGGGCTCATGTCTGGAGGAGGGGCCTGTTGTTGAGGTTTGAGGAGATTGCTGCCAATCTTGACAGGCATCACACTTGCTACAGAGCTATCTGCAGATCCTGCTACAACTTCAGATTCCATCAGATTAGCTTGGTTCTTCCAGTGATCCAAGAGAGTTTTCAAGAGCTGCAAGCAATGTGCCAGAATCCCTGTCCCAGAGAGTGTAGTGGCAGTGGCTTGGGCCACTGCATTGGGGATTTCAGACCCTGCCCTTGAAGATGACTTTGAACGTGACATCATCACTCCTGCAACAAGAACACAAAAATTCCTCCCATGATAGTGATGAGGATACAATTTAACTGCCATTTGGCAGGCCCTGCCTGAATGAATTCTTATTACTTCATTACATTTTCTTAGAATTCACAGGTAGCCACATGTCAATTATATTTTCAGCAGCTTTGAGAGATTCAAAATCAAATAACTAATTGACCATATGGTGTAAATATATAGTGATGTTAACACAGTGATGACCAAATCCAAGTTTCCTCAGATAAGGTGTGCCATTCATTGATGCCCAAATAAATGCTCACTATAATACCTCAAAATATCTAAAAACATCCCCATATAAATACAACTAAACATAATGTGATAAAAAATACCTCCGTTACTCAGCCCTGGTTTTCAGTAATCCATGTCAGTGTTAGCTTTGCATATACAGTCGACTCCCGTTATAACGAAGTCGATAAAGCCACGGGAATTATTTCGTTATAACGAGTTTTCGTTATATCAGGACAGGAGGTCATACAGCTCCATTTAAAGGACTTTTGATCTGTTTTATGGCCTCATTTACATATTTTATTATCCCTTTCATGCAGAGAACACAAGAACCTTCGTGGGTGTCCAGAGTAGCAACAATCACTTGGTCACTAAGAGCATATAAAAACATGGGGGAAAAAATTTGGGCTTTCAGAACACGGCACTCATGACTGCAGGTAATCTCGGATACATGTTTGCCGACTTGAAGTCGCCCGCTTCAGAAAGAATTTCTCTATGTCCGAGATTTTTCTAAGCATTTTTTCATTTCCGTGGCATGCATGATAAAGGTGCAGCTTGATCGTTTCCACTGCTTCCATAACATTCCGTGACTTGGGTATGGCTGGTTGTTCTTCCATTTCCTCCTCATTGGCAGCATCTTCTAACTCCATAACTCCGTGAGCTTCTGCACACATAGCAGGATTGGGAAGCGGCTCGCACGTGGGAACGTCCTCGTCAATATTCACGAACTGTGTGAATTCACAGCCCACTTGCAACTGAGAGGCGATTTCCTCCCAGGCGTCGTCGCTCTCCATTGGAGGAGCAATATCAGTTTCCTCCTGTGTAGATTCGCCATGGCAGAAGCCAGCTTTTCGAAAGCAGTTTGCTACGGCATCAGGACTTACCTGTAGAAAGGTAAACGTGAGAAGCTGCGCACTAGAATTTGAAGGAAAAAAAGAGTTCCTGACTGACGTCATTCCATGCTGCGACGAGATGGTGCATGGCATCAAGCACGTTCCATTTCGGCAATCCGTGCTCTTTGACATGGTCCATCCCCTTTGTACGTAAGTGCCACAGAAGAGAACGAATGAGTCGTTTCCGATACTTCCGCTTCAATGCCGCAATCACCCCTTGGTCTAGGGGTTGTAGTTGGCTCGTTGAATTGGCAGGAAAGTACACCACTTCCACGTTTCTTAGCTTTATGATGCCCGGTGGATGGGCAGGGCAATGGTCGATGAAGAGGAGAATTTTCCTCCCTTTGCATCCCATTTTTGCATCAAGGCATCGGAGGAATTCAATGAAAAGGGGAGTTGTCATCCATGCCTTCTTACTGTGGCGGTAATTTGCGGGCAGATGTCGTACACCTCGGAAGCAACGAGGCTTCTCGAACTTGCCGATGATAGTTGGTTGCAGTTTTTCTGTTCCTGACATGTTGGTGCACAGCAACACAGTAAGGCGCTCTTTGCTCCTCTTACCGCCGATGCACTTCTCTCCCTTCAGCTAATAAGCAAGGAGTACAGGAGTGGCAGAGGGTCAGGTCTAATGTCACCTTCAAACCATTCAAGGCACAGGTAAAGGGGATTACAAGGGAATTAATCTGTATGATTAGTCGTTTTCCATTGCATGGGTTACCTGCATAGTTTTTTCAGGTGTGAGATTGAAGAATAGACTTGTCTCATCGGCATTGAAAATATCCTCTGGGCGATGGCTGCCTATTATGCTTCTAAGAGTCTCATTCTTCCATTTGTTGACGATTTCATCAGGCACGCTTCCGGCTTCCCCACAAACTTTCTTGAACACGATTCCATGTCTGTCCTTGAAGCGAGAGAGCCAACCAGAAGAGCACTCAAAGTTCTCGATCCCCAATACCTTCGCCAGTTCTGCAGCTTTCTGCCGAATGGTGTTCCCATCAAGGGCGATGTTGCAGGCACGTGCTTGCTGGAACCACTCAAATAAAGCTTCTTCAATGTCACCGTATTTTGCACCTCTCAACTTCTTTCTTCCTGGAGCAAAGCTGGCATTGAAGAATTCCTTGCGAATCTTTTCTTTAGCGCTGACGATGGAAGAAAGCGTCGATGGTGGGATGTCATACTTCGCGGAAATCTCGCCCTTCTTCAGTTTCCCTTCCTCGACTTCTCTCAGAATGTCTATTTTCAGTTCAATAGACATGCACTTCCTCTTCTTGGCCACATGTGCCATTTCACTGCCGCTGATGAGTGAACACGTGAACTTTGACCACAAATCCGTGAACTCAGACGAACGAGCGAACAAAACTCGGAATACAGAATGACCCATAAAGTCTTCGACACAATTTATACTTTAGGAGACCAGGGATGCTGTGGGAGGTGACTTTTTAACGCGATAGGCTAATCCCTGTGGGATGGATGGGGGTGATAACTAATAGTTGAGGGACAGATACGGGTGAAGGATTAAGATAAGAACTTGAACCCTTCGTTCCCAGGCGAAAAAAAAGAGAGAAAGAAAGCATTAAAAAAAATAATCCCTCACTCACTTCGAAGGAAAAGTTCGTTATATCTGATGCCCCTTCTTAATGGGGACACGAGAAGTCTTTCGTTATAGCCGAAATTTCGCTATAACCGATTTCGTTATATCCGAATTTTTTCATATGGGCGTCTATGGGCATTCGACCAGGCAAAGGCTAGGATTTCGTTATAACCAGGTTTTCGCTATATCCGTGTTCGTTATAACGGGAGTCGACTGTACTGAAAATGGTGCAAATCATACAGTCATGGACATAATTCTGATACAACATGTTAACCTAATGAAAGAAGGAAGCATATATACCAAGAAGTCGCATAATGAGGAGTTGCATTTCATGCCTTGCTGTACGTTTGATGAGATTTTCAGGGTCTTCTTGGCTGATTTGAAGCTCATGGATAAGACCAGCCAAAAGTGTATCCAAACAAGCTTTGTCTTGCTCATCTTCCACATCTAAATCACCACTCAATAACAGCAACGCCTGTTACAAAAAAGACAGCAAATTCACATTGTCACAAAAGTTGCACAATTCTTCACTGATAAGCGAAGAATTGTGATTTTGGATTTTCATGGTCTTTTCCACCAAGTGCTATTAAAAGTCTACTTCGTGATGATGATGGTAGGCCATGCAGAAAGCTTCACAGAACCTTACCCCATATAATCATGATCTCAAGTTTACTATCATAGATTAAAGACACATTGAAATGAATGTCTTTAATCTATGAAAGTAAACTTTCATAGATTAAAGATATTTCATAGTTAAGATCTGAGCACCTTAGATTTTTCTTTGTGAGGTACATGAAGTACTGTATAAATGAATATAAGAAAACTGTACAATATAAGAATACAGAATACTGTATAGATGAACTGAAAATTTGTAAAAGTATGAAAGAAATTCTGCAAAAAATTATCAATCAATTATCAAATTATCAAAAAATCTTGACTGACCTGCAAAAACGGGATGCAACGAACACCACCAATTTCCCTCAACTGGGGGAGATATGGGAGGAAGGCATTCAAGAGGTGAAGGGAAAGGGAATGCATTTTCTGATTTGCATATGGATCAGATTCACATTCCATCAAGTCAGACTCGCCCATCTGCAAGTACAAAACAATGATTATGAGAGATTTCTTCAAACCAGGATAGGATTGGATAAGATAAAGAAGAACTCCAGTAGGCTTACTTGGTAACCAGTAGTACCACCAGTTGAGAGTGCATCAGAGCCCAACTCATTCTCAGACCGTGGATGACAGTGATACCCACCAGTTGACTCACCATAGGCACTACTCCTCCCTGATGCTGGTGCATTTTCTCCAACCCCTTCACCTGCTGACCCACCACTTTCAGCTGGTGATGTCCTCAATGTTGAGCCATCTGTTGCTGCTGTGCTTCCTTCAACCTATACCATCATGGATCCCATGTGCAATACCTTCATTTGGAAGGAGGTCAATTCATCATTATAATGACAATGAGAAACAATGCTCACTTCTGCTTCATCTTCTGAAATTCCAGGTGATGCTGTTGTATCTGACATGTGTGAAGGTGGAGCTCCCCCATCTGAACCTTCCCTTCGTTGAGCCCCAAAATTCTGACCTGTCAGCAACTGCAGTCCCTGTCAAGAAAGACTCCACTCAAAATCAAACTCTCAATGTGTTCCATTCGGCAATGAACAGTCAAATTTTAAAATGTACTTAATGTTCATGTGCAGAAAAATTTGAAGTTATACCTAAACCAGACCCATGACATGAACTTCCCTGAAGCAGAGTTTCCTTCTGGAAAACATCATAAACACTGAGTCCCCTGCTATATTAAACTTTTGAGCTGAAACATAGTTGGGCAAAAGATATATTACAAGGAGACAACACAGTTCTACAGATAATTTTCATGACTGTCTCTTGCAGGTGCACATGGTCATATCATATGTATGAAAGCAGGAATACATTTGGATTATCTGTGATGCAGATTTTGACCAGATTTTCACTGACCTGAAGAGCCTGAGCTGAAAGATTGTGAATTCCTTGGATACCCTGAGATGCAGCATCTGCAGCATTCCCTGAGGAACTGACTTGGTCTTGGAGACTGAGTGCAATGGCCAACTCAACCATGGTCTCATCATCTGCTTCTGATACTGGAAGATCCAGCAAAGGTCCCAAACCCCCATGACCCAGCAAGGCTTCAAGTGGAAGTGGTGACAGATTGGAATTACTTCTTCCTGAGAAAAAAAAGATATATCATGCAGTAAAACTCTCAGTTCATGTCAAAATCACATGGTTTGGATAAAATGTCATCAAGAATTACCTGATACATCCTGAATATCAGATGCTGCAGCAACCATAACAGTGGGTTCCACATCTTGCATATCTGACATCAGCAATGAATCCAACTGCTGATTATTAGCTGTTACAGGTGGGGTCAGAGGAGGAGGAGGTGGCTCTTTTTCCAGCATCAGCTCTGTTGACAAGTGAATCATCCCATCATAGTCCAGGAAGACATCACAGCTCAAGACTAAAGTTCATCCATAGTTCCATTTAACCAAGTAAATATAAATTCTGGTAGACCTAGTTCAGATTAGTTACCCACAGAAAAATTAATATGTGATACTTCAGTTCAACAAAGCATTATTAAAAGGCATGGACCATGTACCCCTATGCCCATGTATGGCTTTTGTGCTGGCACAAATTCATTGCAGGAGTTGGCTAATGTGCCCACAAGACAAATGATTCCAATTCCTGTCCCTCTTTTGCTATTTCAGGCATCATCACCATTCCAAACCATGATATCCAATATTAACTTTGCCCTGAAGGATGCTGTAAGATACAAGACAGCAGCTATTCCAATAACTAATACATATAGCATTTGCAGACACATTGTAAACAATCATGGAGCTCTTGTTAGAGGATCCTTTCTAGTAATAACACAATATTAGTACTACACATTGCTATACTGAGTTTTGTCACATTGTCTTGCATGTTGTAAATGCTAGTTGAACTTTTAATTTATATCTGTTCTTTAATGTTTACTTTAGCATATGCAACCATGGCACCCCTTATCCACATGCACTGCCCTCTTATAAATGTGATAAGAGAGCATGCAAGTCCATCAACCTCTCTATCAAGCATCAGATGCATCCAACTATCATTCATTGATTGAATTCAGTACAGTCCTGAAACTCACACAAAAGGGTTAAAAGGACCATAAGTATCTAATGCATGTAGAGTCTTCCACAGTTAGACAACACTACAAAGGAACATCTAATCATTTCATCTAGGAAGTCACTGATTTTGTTTCTTGGAACTAGTAAAAACTTTTTTCTTGAGAATAAGGGCCAACAATATTTTAAAAACTTGCCTGGTGTGGAAGATCTTTGAGGACTAGGTATGCAGACTCTTCTCTTGCGCTGCCTTGGACGGAGACAACGTATGAGAGCAGTCTTGGCAGCAAAGCTCAGAGTCATGTCCGATGAGAGGAGGAATGACATATAATGCTTGACAGCAACAGATACCATGCTTATATCCACCAAAGTGATGGCATGAATGATTTCCACTATTGTTGCTGCAGCCATCTCCAATTGGGGATATGCTGCAATAAAACAGCAGGCAAGTCTCTGAAATTTGCTAGAAACACTTAATGAAAAAGGACACTTCACTCAATGGTTCCAGGCATCAATGATAGGATGAAAAAGTGCTTACATGCTTGGCCAACAGGAACTAAGAACTGGTTTCTTGGTCTGTTTTTGTGAAGTCTCCAAAAATGCTCCATCATGAGTCCAATGAAAGTGGTGATTTTGTTTTCACTCTCACTGACATCTGTTGATTCTTCTTCCAATGAAGAGGAGGGGGCCACCATGGACTCTTGTTCCTCTTCTTGCATGAATGGATTTGTGGAAAGCATTGGAGGGGTTTCAGGTGGAGTTGCATAATAAACAGGCTGTTGATTGTCTTCTTCAATTAAGGTCTCTTGATCCACCTCTCCTTGCTTCCATATCAAGAAACTCCAAACTGAAACCATATGTGGCATGGAAAGTAAGCTTTCCATATCATACTGCACTTGAATTACATTATGTCTTTTAAATCCAAAATCCTATTGTTCCTTTAATAATGTATTCATATGCAAAACAATGGAAGACAATGATGACCAATGTTATAAGGTTACTAAACTGATACTTAGAATCAGACTGCCAGTGATCATGATAGTAACCATGAGGTTTCAGGCTTTCACCTGTTTACTTCTCTTGGCTATATAGGCACTAAATAAAAATAATGTGAAATGCTTACCTTTGCTATTTGCATATAGTAAAGACTTGGGTGAATATTGCAAGTTAGTGATTACAAGTTTCAAGGGCATATCTATCAAAAGGAGGCTTATTTCTCATCATTTCTGAATGATAGAAGCAAGTTTGAACAGCCTTAACTGATTGCTGGTTTCTGGGAGCAACCTTTCTAAAAAAAAAAAAAAAAGTTCATTTAAAATGGCAGAACTTTTTAGAAAGAAGTCTTCAATTGGATCAGCAAGGAGATCTTTATGCTCTTATGAATAACTGATGAATTTGGTGATCAGCAAAACAAAAGAAAGGTGTTTAAGGATTAAAATTTTTTTGTTGAATCTTTCCATTCACTTTATTTTCAAGATCAGAAGTGTGTTAGGTGAGTGGAAGGGCCAGAGCCTCACTGGAATCAGATGTAGAGATCTTGCTCGGAGCTATGCCTTCAATCAAGTTTGCAGGACGGGACAGAGCAATTGCCCTGACATGAGACAGCACCAAAAAGAAAGAGTCCACTTCATACAAATCTGTACTGAAGTCCTTTGCCAGCTTCTTTGAGAGATGGTGAAGAATGAAGGCATCCTGGAGGCATGAAGGAATTCACATGACTACAGTCAGTTTGTTCACTAATAACAAAGAAATCATAAATCAGAAGTTGGAAAACTTACATTATAAAACATGAATGATGATTTGTTGAAATGAAGAGCAGCATGTAACATTCTGACACGCTGCAGCACTAAGGAAGACAATGGAAGGACAAGATAGGAGGATGTCACTTTCAGAATCATCTCCGTGAGAGTAGCCTTTTGAGGCACTTCCCGCAATCCAGTCAGGTAGTAGAAACATTCTAGAGTCTCACAGGCACATTCTATCATCCTGTGCAGGAACCAGAAAATAATGCAATTAATCACATTGACCACTAGCACAGATTTTCATCAAATCAACTCTTGCTATAATGAAGTTGATGAAACTGCAAAAATGAAGCTGAAATTTAGTTCATGTCATAACCCAATATAGTGATTATATCTCCATAGAGAAACGAATCCACCTTAAGTCTGTGTATACATGATTTCATCATTCCATGGGTTTATAATAGGGATTCAATAGTTTTTGAGTGTTTCATGAATGACAGAATTTTAACACATTAGCTGCCACATATTACACAGGCCTTACATGGAGCCTTGCAGTTAAAGCATAAGAAAAATTCAGCTAACATGTTATCATCAAGTGCGTAATTTTCTGAGCAAGGTGGAATCCACAATGTGTAAATATAAATTAACTGCAGCAATAGAAATGGAATTATGGTGGTTTATGAATAAAATTGAACAGAACTCTATTTTTTTTCAATATGTTAATACATAGTGCAGAACATGATACATTGCAATTTAAAAAGCAGACATGATGTATCAGGGACATTGGTCATGATTAATATATCCATCGTATTCACTCAATGGGTTAAATGTGAAAAAGTATTCACCATGTTCTGTACCTACACTTAAAATTTTGCAAAATGAAACTCATATGGGATGAATGAATACAAGCCTAATTCATCCCTATGGTAAAAGGCTGAGTACAAGCACTCATTGTGCCTCATTCACTCACATTCACCTTTATCCACATCCCCTGCCACATGCTCATTTCACTCATTTTTCATTGCATCTGAAATTTTGGTATATCTGACTTCTTTACATCCAAAATATTTTAAAGAAAGCAAGGGTGTCTAAAGACATTCAACTAGGCAATGCCAAGGATTTCAGAATAACTGGTTTTTCATTATATCCGAGTCCATTATAACAAGAGTCAACAGTATTAAGCTATGAAACAGAGGACAGACCTGTTCACAACTGGGTCTGTTGTGGCAGAAGGAACAGGTACTTCATTCTCAGGGATGGAATCAGGAGATCCACTGGGAACAGTACTGGTTGCTGGCAAAGGCTCATCACTCAGCTCATCAGGCCAAGAAAAAGCTTCCTTTGTCTTTCCATAAATCTGAAGAAATGACATGCAACTTGACTGACTTGGAAGGAAGATTAGGATATAATTGATTCAATTACAGGTTCAACATCATGGTTATATCTCTGAAAAGCTCATAGTACAGGGTGATTCTTTCGTTTTAGTACCCTGCCTGAGTTATTCACGTTTTTTAGGGTACTAACACGAAAGAATCACCCTGTATTTAGATAGGTGTAGTGGTGCATATGAGATGGAGGTGGGATTACAAAATGTAACTTACAGCCATTACTAAAAGGGCTCATCTACCAGATGATTTCAATCATGCTTACCTGGCCAGGAGGTTATATCAAGACAGATATTTCACCATGTGAAAAAGGACATGACATAAAATCACTTAAGAGGTCTAAGTTGTCTTATGAAAACTTCCAATGCAACATTATGAGGTAGAAAACCAACTGAAGTTGCACAAACCTCATATCCTGCATTTGCATTTTACGTTCTTGCCAACAGGAGACCATATTAAATGGAAGTGGCAGATGATCCAGTCTTAAGAATACTGTTTGTAGTGAGTATGTGCATGAAGGCCAACCAAAGCTGGACAGAATATGCGATGCACGTGTGGGTTGCATTATCATGCTGCAGACATGAATGTAATGAGTGAACTGCAGACTCTTCAAAAGGATGAACTGCAGATAAAAATTCAGTCAATCCTTGATATACTGCCACCTCTTTGCTGAGAATAAATCCTCTCATAAGCTTAAAATAGGCAATACCCCTTATAGCACCACTCTCACAAAGCACCATTCACTAATACCATAATTTGCTCAAACATATTTTTTTTCCCAATACATCTTCCTCAATTTCTTACCAAAAAGCATGAGCACTGCAACTATTCTTAAGTATTTCACGTGATTAAAAGTTTGTTGGCACCGAGATAGGTGATAGCACAGAGGACAATTATAGAGAATCAATGGAAAGAAGGTATCCATTTAGTCAAATGACCTTAGAAGATTTTGGTAACATAGCTAATAGGTTCTTTCAACACAGTGCCACTTGCATTATAGAGCCAAAATCAGCTGACCAAAAGTGGTGTTTTATCTTGGGTTGACTGTACACCCACTAGAAAAAGTACATGACTCCACAAGGACTACTCTGAAGGAGATCATGCCACCATGGACAGCAAGGTACAGGTGTCTGAGGAAAACAATTTCCAGGTCAGGTCCATGGGTCTTTTTCTGTTTACCACATACTGTACACGGTGGGGCAAAATTAGGCATACAGTAATATTTTAGTTTTATTTTTATATTTACAGGTAGAGGATAATGACAGGGAACCTGACTTTTGAGCAATGAAAATGGCTGTTACAGAAATACTGGAAAAGTAATAAAAGTAATAAAACAAAATGTAATGTAAGTAACAAAAGTAATAAATAAAAAGTAATAAAATGATAAGGAATAAACAGCTAACTGTATACCAACTTTTGCACCACCCTGTATATACCAACAAACTTGAAGGGCAGTTACTGGCAAGGGAATTATATGCATGAGTCTCTGACAAGTAGCACTTGTATGTTATCAGCGCTATTTTACTTGTATTAGGTTGTTGCAAAAGTCCTGTCGGTGTTGAATGTAACATGTTCTAATAAGACTTCCAGGCTTTGACAATTCCTGGCGAGTGGGTGGTAGGTATGGGTATATAAGGACAGTCTGTTGTATCTCACTCATCCCATCATCTCTCATGGCCTCTGAGAAATTCACGCCAACGCAGATCCATCTC